TGTGTGTGTGTATGAGTGTGCGTGTGTGTATGTGTGTGTGTGTGTGTGTGTGTGTGTGTGTGTGTGTGTGTGTGCGTGCACGTGGCGCGGTGGGAGATTTGTTTTTCTTCTTTATTTCTGTTATGTTGTGTGGCTGTGAGTAAAGACAGTAAAATAGGTTCTTTTAAATTATAGTTTAAAAGTCTATAGAGGCTGTAGATTCAGAATGGTTTTAATGCTTGCTCTTAAAGCCCTGTTGGGTCATTTCAGAGGCGGGACCTCGAAAACTCAAAGCAATCCAATTTCGAGAGACGTCCAGTTGGAGAATCGAACCAATATCATCCACACTGTGGTTGTGTACCCTGTCAACTCAGTTGTGGGCCCATTCCACAAAGAGAGAGTGTAATGGCGCTATTAGAAGTATTAGTGTCGAAAAAGTGAAGCAGATGACTCAAGACCATATCAACAAAGATGAGAAGCTAAGGTTGTATCCACCCCCCCCCCAAAAAAAAAACCCCCCACACAAACACATTCGTTTGAGTTTGAGTTAAAGAGAAGCACATTGACACTATACTGATTATATACTGTAGGGGGGAAACAAAGATCAACCGACAGAAACAAGACAGAGAGGGAAATAAATAGAACCTGTCAGTGCTGCCCTCCGACCACCCATGCCCCACCCCTTCAAAAGTGGATTGGTCGACAATATGTAAGATGGAGTGGGGGCAAGGAGTGCACCGTTCAGACATGTTGCATTTTAAGGACATGGACTAAGCAGGACCAGGAATCGAACCCATAACTTTCAAATCAGGAGCACCTTAGTCTAATTATTCACATAACATTAAAAATAAAATGCTATCGAAGCTCTCTGAGAAGGGAGAGAGGAAACCAAACAAGGCAATAATGACATCTTGAGACATTAAAAGTGAGACTAAGGAGTGATTATTATGTTATGGTAATCAACTCATTTTCTTCTGTTGCAAAGAAATATGGGCCTCTACTAAACTAAAAGAAATATGGTACGTGCATGTAAATTAAAAGGAGGGAGAGAGGATGAGAGTACCATAGAGAGACAAGGGAGGGAGGGGGAGAGAGGGAGAGAGAGAGAGAGAATGAGAGAGAGAGAGAGAGAGAGAGAGAGAGAGAGAGAGAGAGAGAGAGAGAGAGAGAAATTGTAAGTACATGTATTCGAACCCCCCCACCAGGGCGATGCTATTGTCTGAAGTGTCTTTAGGCCATTCCCAAAGGCGAGACATTAAAAAATAATACATGTATGTTCTTATACACACAAGAATTGTAATTTGTAAATGGGCTGATTCATCAACGTCATGCTCATAACTGTACCTGAACTGCAACAGAGAACTGCTGCTTTTTCTTTCCTAATCCTTACTGTCGTCATTTTTCTCTACTTCTTTTTTATGTTTGTCACACTCTTGTAGGTTAGAAACAAAGATCAACAGACAGAAACAAAACAGAGAAAGAAAAAAATAGGCTTAAGCCAAAAAAAAAAAATTTGATAAAAATGTCCAAACTGGCGGGAAAATGCCTGTTTCTCTGATTTCGTTATTTCCGGGGGTGCCTTGATTATTGAAGCTGTAACAGGATTTGACACTATACGGGGAAAGGATTCCCGTCCAGGACCAGGCTCGTTTCCTCGGCGTTATATTCGACAAAACACTCACATTCACACCACACATCAAAGACCTTCGTGTGAGATGCCAGAAAGCGTTAAACGCTTTGAAAATTCTATCACATCCGGAGTGGGGCGGGGACTCAAAACACCTCCACTTGTACATCTCCCTTGTCCGGTCCAGTCTTGACTACGGTTGTCAAGTCTACGGATCGGCAAAACCACACATCCTGAAAATGCTAGACCAAGTACAAAACCAAGGACTCCGTCTCGCTCTGGGGGCTTTCCGCACCTCCCCGGTGGAGAGCCTCCAGGCCGAGGCAAACATATCACCATCATTGTCACTCAGACGCACACAACTCTCACTACAATACGCAGAGTTCAACACCTGAAAATCCAGTGCACAACTGCATTTTTAAAACAAACCCAGAAACCATAAACAAATTCCAAAACAACGAAAAACTCATCAAACCCTTCGCCTCAGAATCCTTGAGGACCTCAAAAACTTACACTTCTCCAAACAAGACATCCAACAATTTATTTTCCCCGACCTCCCTCCGTGGCACCTTACCAAGGCAAAAGTAGGCTTACAGCTGACCACACACAACAAAGAAAGCACAAACACCAAGACGTTTAAACTAAAGCAGAATACAAAAACTAATAGATAAATACCCCGGTGCGGAGCTCATCTTCACGGATGGCTCCAAAAAAGACAATAATGTGGGCGCCGCAGCCCTATCTTCCAACAGTACACACCAGAGGAGACTCCATCCAGAAGCCTCCATTTTCTCTGCGGAGGCCACTGCCATTGACATGGCACTGGACTCCGTAGAAAATTCTCCTTACAAATCTTTCCATATCCTTTCTGACTCTCTGTCTTGCATCTCCTCACTCACAAACTACACACTCCTACACCCAAAAATAGTTAGGCTACAACAGAAAATTCACACCCTATCTGAAACAGGAAAAAATATCATGTTCGCATGGATACCTAGCGTGGGTATCAGAGGAAACGAGCAGGTAGATGACCTGGCGAAGAAACCCTCATCCCTTCTGTTTGGATCAACGACGAACACTCTCCCACAGACTGACTTTAAAAATAAAGTCAAAAAGTACACCTCCAGTCTGTGGGAGAGCCACTGAAAAAAACAGAAGAATAACAAACTCTATAATATAAAACCCAAACTGGGACCGCGACATCCTTCGGACCTCTCCAGAAGAGACGAAGTCATTTTTACTCGATTGCGCATCGGACACACGGCCCTGACACACAAATGCCTCCTACAGGGAGATGAGAAGCCGTTCTGTGTCGGATGCGACACAGATTTTACCATTAGATACATTTTAGCCGAATGTCTAAAGTCTAGACTTTGGAGAGATCCGAAGGAAATACTTTAAATGCAAAAAATTGCAAGACATTTTTTCCGTCGCTAGTCCCAGCATCCCCCCCCCCCCCCCCCCCCCAAAATAGACCCACCTCTTCGTGGTGGGGGGGATTAGTACTCTTCGAATAGGAAAAGAAAAAGAGGAAGCTAACGGGTCAAGGGGTGACCCCGAAAGGAGACATATTACTTTATTACTATGTTTCTTACTCTTTCTATTTATTGTTTTACTTTATTACATTTATTAACTTTTCTTTTCTCCTCTCTCCATCGACAACCTTTCTTTGACCTGGAGTTGGGACGGGTATTGGTGGGGTGGAAAGCAGAGGTTCATTATCAGCACTGTACTGGATGTGACTTTACGTAGGGAATACCCAGCTACATACATGTATTAAGCATGCACTTATCGGAGAGCCCTATGACTGCGGAGAAGGTGCAGAGACCATTTGTGTCTTGCTTGTTGACAACATTAACCCTCTGGGATCTGCCATACCTTCCCCTGCCCCCATCTCTCGGATGAGAGGACTTGGTTGCTCTGGTAGGAGGGGGGAAATCTAGCTTCCAATTGGTATTATTATTACTATTAGTATTATTATTATTATTATTATATTATAATTTTTGTATTTCAGCAACACACAACATCTATGCTCTTAATAGCGTCTTTCTCTTCTTTATCTCCTCAAACAACTTCTCAATATAATACAACAGACACCAACATACCCATTCATTTTTCTTACAATCTCTCTGTGATGGAGTTGGGTTTTTGTTTGTGGCATTACACCTACAGCCACTGCTTTATCTCCTACCCCGGGATGGAAGGAAAATCACAGAAACACCAGTTTTTGTTTTTTTTAGATAGTCCTAGCAGAATTTTGGATTTTATGAAGGCCATTGGCCTTTATCATTTATGGGAAGTTATAGAGCAGAATTCAATTATCAAAAAAATTTTGTGAAGATTATTTTACATTGAAATTATATATTCACACCAAATTTTAAATTTTTAAACGTTTTAAGATCGAATGACCCATGCCCAGCCGTGCAGTGAACTGAAAATGAAACACTAACTTGTGTTTCACGTGCTCATATGACCTTATGCAGTTGCGAGTGCCGTAGTAAAACCCTATACTAAACAAACAAACAAGACTTTGTGCCGTTGAAGCTAGAGAGGTGAGCAGAGTAAGCCCAATTCCCTGTAAGGACTTCTCTGTTGACATCCACCCCTTGGCGCTCATACGACCATATGCAGTTGCGAGCGCCCTAAAACCTCTACTAAAATACTAAAATAAGTTTTCAAAGCAGAGAGATTGTATGTACAAAGGTGAGTGAGCATTCATCGCTGTAGCCTGCATATGTGTCACGATGGACGCGGTGGAATCAAGCGCTCGTCAATTTTTGGGCATGTGGAGCTACTGGTACTGGTATCATCTGAAAACTGGTATATTTGCCATGCTTCCAATGAAATAAATTTATATCTATTTATCTTGTGTAGACCTCAAGATATTTGCGATTGAAGGAAGTGAGATCGCCAGATTTCAGTGGTGAAATTAGTGAAAAAATGGCCACCAAAGTTTGGAGACTACAACAGCTAAATAGTCTCTGAAAACTGAAAAATGACACATTTTGAGCCTTTAATCAATGTTTTTCAGTAAAATTCACATGGAAATGTGTCTTTATATAGACATAAAATAGGTTTAGCCAAAAAAATAATAATTTGATAAAAATTTCCCAACGTGCGGAAAAATGCCTGTTTCTCTGATTTCGTTATTTTGACGAGCGCCTAATTTCACTATGCTGCCTCACATACTTTATAATATTATTGTATAAACAGGAGAAAATGAAGAAGCATATTGTATTTGCTGCAGTATTGTTTTATGAAGATGTTTTTGAACTCTGGAAAATTTTGTTTTAGAAATCTGAGCGCTGTATAATTTAGACATTCTCCACTGAAATTTGACAGAATATAAAAATTACAACACAAACGATACATAAGATATAAAAAACAAAGAACATTTATTTTCAAATTGTCCACTTTATTCTCAACCACCAGCTATAAGGCAATACTGAGAAATGCACATGAACCTAAAGTGCACTAAAATAGGCATAAAAAACATCCATTCAAAATATGTTCTTTTTTTATCACTCCCTCCCTCCACTCATACACACACACACACACACATACTTTCTTTCCCTTTCATCTGCACTTAACTCTGGCACCTCAACTTGTTCCACCACTGGGTTCATTAACTCCTCTTCATCCCTCTTCACACAAATATTCAGCTACTCAGACCACATCCACTCAGCATTCAGCATTTAGAGACTCAACAACACAGCATATCTGTCATCAGCCAGGCTTCCACCAGGAGAGCATGCCAAGACCCATTTCACTGATCGAGCCCTGAAGAAACAATCAAGTTTGGAGGGTCAGTGATGACAGACTGAACAAGAAGCTTGAATGTACATGAATACAAGTGAGAACTACAATTTTAAAAACGTTCAAAGTCACATATTCAGGTTCAGGTTAAAATAAAATAAAATTTTGAAGTTAAAAAAAACCCAGCTGATTATAATTGTTCGTCTACTGTATAATATTATTCTCTTCTTAAAAAATGATCTCCACCTCAAGACTGGGCCTTTTGTTCAGTTAAAAGATTTTGAGAGTAAACTATGGAAGAAGTGCATATGGTATAAGCAATCTTCGGTGATGCTGAGATTGTTCTTCAGTTGAGGTCCTAAAGCATTCATTGTTGTTGTCGGCACCTCTAGCACTAATTGAGACAAGTGAAAGAAGTAGTAAAATCCCAGCTCAAACAGAGACTTGCATTGGGGAAGACAGATAACTCCATTCAAAACGGCATTCCAACAGGAAAAAAGTAAAAGAAGCTTCATGAAATTGACTGACAGTGTATGAGAAATAAGCATCAGAAAAAGCTACTGCACACAAAATTTTAATTTAGAGTTTACTCCTTCTTCCAGTATGCTTTGTTTCTGTTTTGGTAAGTGTTTTACGGCGCTCGCAACTGCATAAGGTCATAAGAGCCTGCGGGACACATTAAAAATTTTCAGTTGGGCAGGAATAAATTTTGAATTTTGCTCTGGTGGCGGCTGAAGCTTTCTTTAATCGATTCTGGACCACTTGCACGAGGGACCTCCGAGATTTTCCGCCCTTATCCGAGAAGGCTAGGTGTTAGACCTTACCTACCCTAAATTAGGGTTGTGGCTGAAAGACAGCAGTAAGAAGGAGCCAAAGAGTAGAAGTAGAAAGGCTGCAGAAAGAGTAGGGAGCCAAGAGGAGGGCGCAAAGGGGTGAGGGATAGGGGCAAAAAGTGGAGATAAAATCAAATGACAGAGTATATATGGACTTCACAACAAACAGATAAAAACATGGTATTACAAATTGCAGAATATCATCATTCTGCAGCCTGCAGAATATCATCATTCTGCAGCCTATCATAAGATACCAGTATGTAAACGTGACGAATGTATCACTTTCACTGCCAAACTGAACTTACAACGAGGGTGTATGGAGCTTTCTTGGCAGTGGGATCAGACACTGGGACAGGGTTGGTGGAAGACGACGGACCAGACGAAGGTGGGGGCATCGACAATGTGTCATCTGGGCAGCTGGGAGTCGTGTCAACAAAAGTTTCGTCAACGACACGAAATCTGGGGAAGAAAGAAGAAAACAAAAAGGCAATGAGAGGTGGGCAAGGGATCATAAACGGGATTTATGCCAAGGACTATCCTCAGGAGAAGTCTTGAATATAATTGAAATAAAAAAATGTCGCACACTTTCATACCTGAATCAGCACAATTTAGATAATTTAAAAGGCAGTCTGGCTGCCGAGGTCAATCTCAGGTGAGTGGGATACAGCATCCATGCAAATAGATGAAGATTTTTTATAAATTTGCTTCTCAACAAATATGTCTTCTGAATACAACGATGAAAAGTGTAACCATCATGCCACAATTGACAATGAAAGTAACCCAGAAACAAATACAGTCAAACCTGCTCTCACAGCCACTTGTCCAAGACAAGCACCTGAACAAACAACCACTTCCCACTTCCCCATTGCATTTTTTAAATACATGTACGTATTATAATGACACTGTCCAAGACTTCCACTTGTCTATGACAACCACTGTTCTCTTCCACATCATCTTGGACAATTTTGACAGTACGAAAACAAGTCTCCAACAACACAATTGTATCTAGCTACTGCAACAATCCAAGTCTGAGTTTGCACACTGGAAAAGTTCACAGAAACAGGGCGAAGAGTTGATTTTGTCTCAAATTCGTGGCATTTTTCTCCCAAATAGTGTTGACAAATAAAAGGAAATGTACATAATTTATTTCTTCTTCTTTCGAAATTTGGTATTCTTTTTTTACAGGGGGGGGCAATTGATAATTTGTTGGGAAAACAACAGGGTCCATGGGTGAATCATCACTGTAAAGCGGCCTAAATAGGGGAAAGGATTTTGGGGGGAAGGGAAACTTAAACGCTTGGCCAGGAGAAACAGATGTGAACATAATTTTTTACCATGAAAAAGAGGTGATTCCCCCTCTTTCCTTTGATAGTACATAAGTGACAGAATAAGCTGTGTCAATAACCAGGTGAAAACTAGAAATGCCAAAAATCGCATTTATATGAAATATCACTTTCATATCCGAAATGATTATTAATTTATGAACAAAGGTGTGTTTTTGCACTTACTTTCTGCCAAGTGTAAAATAGGTCATATGAACATTTTCACAATAACATTTTTTAATTTGTACATTTTTTTGTCCTATGCTTGCAAAAAGCATTAAGCTAATACCCTGCATTGTTATAAAAAACTAAACAAAGTTTTAACTTTACAGAATAATACATTTTTAATCAACACGCTGAAATTGACCTTTTGTGGTGTAGCAAGCAAAAATATTTAATCAAAAAGCCATTTTCATACACTTTTGTGGCTTAACTGAATCGGAATTATACACCTGAGGATTCCTTTAGTGTTTGTATACCTCAACATTGTCACTGACTACATGAAGACATAATAAATGAGCATGTGTATAATACAATTGTGTGGCTGTTCATCAAAGTCATGCTTTAAGCTCGTTTTGAATGCATTTGAACCTTGATTACCTTTTTATTTATTGTCCAAATCTTATGATTTAAACATTGAATTTCATCAGTTCCATAACTCTTTCTGATCCAATCAAGAAAATCTACTTCCAAATACTGAAATTTTTTATTTGCGGTACCTACTCTACAAGGGCAGTAAGTAGCCTGTCCCCATTCTATCAAGTTCTATGGAAAGGAAATGAAAAGTTGGCGACATCTTCACTGTTTCTTTTAACCAAATGAACACATTTTTACTGCCATGTTCTTCGAATAAAATCAGCATACTCATTTTGTAATCCAACTGTTTGTCCAGTGGCTCACAATCAATACAAAATGCAGATTCTGCAGTGTTACATAGGAAAGATTCAAGTTCAAAGACACTGGTAATCATGGTACACATACATTACATGCTAAGCCTTTCTTCATTTCAAATATCTGTCTAAACACAGAAAGTCACAGCAATTGAGTTTACTTCTAAAAATGTGTATCAGTTATGTCAAGATCCCAAGTTAAATATTTCAGTCTGACAAATCTGAAGAAACAGGTATCACTCTTGTGAAATTTTAGTCTCGAAAAGGTGATGACTAAGGTGTTAGATGATTTTTCACTTTCAGTCTTTCTGAGCACAGAGAGACTTTTCAAAAGTTACAGCAATTGTCAGAAATCTATCATAAAAAGATGAAATTATAGATTTGATACTCTACAGAATTTTTAACACTCATTATACACGTAAGTTACTAATACATTCTGACCACTGAAGACTGGATGAAACAATCGCTCCTATCCGAAAAATAATATATTCAGAGGTCTTTTCTCTTTAAAACCATTACACATTAAAAGAGGCTTAAAACCCACACCATACCATTAAAAAGGCCATCCACAAAAAAGGAGTCTTGAGGAAAATTGAGAAAAAAAAAATCCTTTGTCATGAATTTTTAAACCTATCCTTGTGTTCATTTGAGAAACAAAACTCTATGGACACATCCACACCTCACACATGATGCATGTCACCCAGTACTTACCTGATGTCCCCTCCAATGTCCATGGGCAAATCTACAGAGCCCTCATCCGGAGCCTCATACTCCCACGACCACAACTGTTCCTGTTCGTTGCTACAAAAAAGTTCAGGAAAACAGCTCTCCAGCCTTGGATTGCATACATGTATAACAAGGGAGTACAATAAGTACTCAATATCACCTCCTATGCAGCAGGGGGGATGTGGGGTTGGAGGGGAGGGGGGAGTCCTCAATTTTGACCCAGTACTTTGAAATTAGCTCTTTCATTTTGGGTGATGGTGATAAAAAGTATTAATATTAATACTGCTATCTGAATATGATAAACGGGACATGCTTTGCAACATCACATTCATCAGCAAAGTTGAGGAATTACAAAATCACATCCAAAAACAGTGAGCAACAGAGAGGATGAATGTCACTAGCTAACAACAGCAAACTTGGTGAAAAACTAACCAAACTTAACTTCATCCACAACAACTTCTATAGTATTTAACTACAATCAGCGCAGACTCGGTACAGAAATTCACCAATACAGATGTTGTAAGGAATTAAATAAGTGGTGTGCAATCCCAAAGATATTACATACTTAGTAAGGGAAATAACCCTGGTCAACTGATTGGCCCAGCTGTTTGAAGTAGTTGACTTGCCTGAGTTATTTCCCTTGGTTAAACAGGGGATGGTGCCAAAGAGCCACACTACTGGATAACCGAGTGCCTTAGTCTCACGATAGTTCATGATATTTGGTAATAATAATCATGGCAACTGATATGAACAAATATGTTGAAAGATCTAAACTTCCTCATACAATCAAAAAAGAAACCTAATGATACCTTTTGATTCAGTCCCAAGCTGATACTAAGTAAAAATATCGGGTTCTTCAAATGAACATTTGAAAAAACAACAAAACAATTCAAGGGTAAAATGTGCCAGGATTAATTCCAGTCATAAAAGTGGCTGAAAGTTTCAAAAAAAGTCGGAAGAAATCTAGTGGCTTTTCTGAGTCAGACAGATCCATATCCATAGATGAGCCATAGATGACAGTGACTAATTTTTTCAAAAACAAAAGAATAAATAAACAAACAAATTTTAAAAATAAAGTCAGCGCAACAACGATATTAAAGTAATCGGAATACACATACATATATTTTATTGTATATTTTAATGTATATTGCTGTTGTTGCAAGAAAAACAAGAGATGCCATTTGATACTGCCTCACACAACATGGTCAGGGGAAAAAAAAATTAAGATGCTCATTTTTCTTGTGACAGCAACAATAAAAGTCAAACCTGCCATTACAGCCACCTGTACAAACGGCCACTTTCCATTCCCCCCCTTGCATTTTTCCTATATAATTTTACTGTGTAAAATAGTCACCTGTCCAATGGAGCCAAGGCCACCTTATTTTATCAACCCACTGTCAAATTTACCTGGCGTTGTCACTCATCGCCCGACGCTTTGTCATAAATTTTGAATCGGCCCCTCATGCTGTGGACGGGTCGTCATAATTCATTCACATGTCATTATTGTTAGTCCCTCCAGTGAATGTTTACCCACGTTGAATAATGGGTAGGCCTAACATAAATTTTCAACTGCTGGTGAGGGAAGCGTGATCCGTCATAACCTATAAGCCCCGCCCACAACTCATGCACAAATCGTGTGTGAGGTGACTGGTTACTGTTTTCTTTACCTAATCTGTAACAAAGTAACAATGGACATTGACGTGAACTTACGGCAGAAGCCCCGTTCGTTCTTCGAGGGGTGGCGACCCATGTGTTTGTTTTACCATGGCACTTGGTCTTCATCATCTTACTTACATTATATTTAGTGTATTTTACCCTTGCACAAAATCAGCAACATAAAGAAGCTTACCAACAAAACAACACAAAAAAAACCTTCTTACACCACATCCCTTTTTCAAAAGAAAACAAAACTGTTTTAAATTAGCCTTACGGCAATCTTAAGTCTGGGATCAGCCCCGGTTTGGACCTCAGAAGAGAATGATTTGCTTTCTTCTGTTTGACAAGTCCTACCTAAGACAGCCACCTGTGTTATATTGCCACTTTTCTCCTTGACAATGGGTGGCCGTTTTACACAAGTCTGACTGTATAAATATACGACCAGTTGACAAACTTGTAAAACAATGGGAGTGTTTTAAGAAGGTAATTCAAGTTGTAATCAAGAACAAAAGGATACAACTTTGATGGATGCTGCAATGAGTCCGAGGGAATGACAATATCATCGAAGAAACCCACAGATACTGAAATAGGAAATTCAATGAGTTATTCAAAAGTCAATATGAAACCATTATGTTCAAAATCATGTTAAAAGATGGGAGAACAATCTTTTTAAAAGTGTACAAGAGCATTAATAAATTTCATTTCTTTTTATACTGCGGTAAAAATCAAAAGAAAAAATATATTATTTTATATAGACAATACTGAAAAAAAACACACAAAATATGTAACTAAATTGAAGAAAGTACCATAACTTCTTGAGATAATATAAAAAGGACTACAAGACATGATAATTCCATATGCAATACATCCTCAACAAAATTTTAAGTACACTTTGAACAAATATTCGGTCATGGTACCTCAAATTGTTCACAATATGCACAAAGAACAAAAAATTATAACTTTCATCCTTTTTTATCATTTGGCACAAAACATCTATGGAATTTTACATGTTCGACTGACTGCTTGAACTGCAGCATTATTCAAAACTTAATAGTGTCAAGTCTATACCAAGGGACAACTTACTGTATAAAAGGATTATGACAGAAAAGGAGTAGCTCTTATTAAAAACAGGCTATGAAAAAAAACGACTGCGACCATAGATAAACAGACAAACCTTTCACTTTAAACAAAACAAGATTTTTAAATTAAAGTTATAGTTTACAGACGGTGCACCGGCAGTGGAATTTTAGTTGCAACAGCGGGTTCCCTGCCGAACGCCTCATCACGTCAGGGTCACATGGGTCAGCTCCCTGTCGCTGCTCTGTTTGGGCGGACTTAATTTTTGGTACTTTTCAATGTACAGTTTTAGGTGTATCCTTGTATTTATGGTAATTATCATTTAATGCACCAAAAGCCCGCATTTCTGCTCTTGAAACTCTAAAAAGAACGAACAGTGTAACTTGTCTAGTTATTTTATTAGACACGCTGAAGTTGGCAACGATAAATTGTAAAAATTTTTGGAAAAGTCCAGTGAAAAAAAAGAAAAAGAATTTAAACGGCGTGACAAAAACTGTCAAACTTTTGGAACATGAACGACATAAAATTGGTACAATATCTCAAAAAAGATGGTATCTGCGCATATAATTCAAAGTTGAAATTTTGCAACTTTATCCACCTGGCACACAATTCGCTGTGAAGTAATTCCTCCAAACACAACTTTGTCAATACTTCATGTGTTAAACAAAATCGTGAATATTCGCATATTTTCTCGAAAGTTTATAAACATTACCCTGAAGTCTCTCTATGAAAAAGTACAAACCAATTTTAGTGCCAGAATACATCAAAAATGTAATACACGAACAATATCTTTTACACTCCAGAAATTCATTTCTTTTCCCTTAAAACGCAAAGTCTATGTTTTGTAAGTTGACTGAATAACAGGGATAACTTCTCATAATTGGGTTATAAGAATTATTTCTAGCTTTCCAGTGACACTGAATCAGCACCAGACTTTTCCAGTTTTTGTTTTGGTTTCTATGACCATTTGCAATAACTGACAATGTTCTCATTTCTTTACATTCACAAGTGTTAGAGCATATTTCTGACACAAAAACTAAGAATGAATGTGTTAGCTGTCATTATCTTTATTCCATACAAGAAGTTTATCTCTACCCATGTAATTTCACAGTTTTGTGGGGGGTTTTTAATCTCATAATATATTTCTAAGTTGTACACAGGCTGCCACAGACACAGCATAATTCATGAACAAACGCAGAGTAACTTTCTCTCATTCAATGGTAAAACAAGAGCCAATGGCGAGTGTCTTTAGTTTAAAAATGCAGTTGTGCATCTTTCTTCTCTTATAACTAGACTGTTACTACTTGCGTAGACTTAAGATTTCTAATGGTAAAAGACATGATATTCGTAGTCAGTTTAACACAGATTTTGGAAAGATCTGTCGTGCCGTTTTTAAATAAACAATCATATATTCATAAGTTTCTAACTAAAATAGGACAAATAAGGTACTCTACATACACTTGTCTAGAACAAAAACTAAAGCACAAAAATTAACCATTCTAATGCAAAATAAATCTCAAGACATTGAGCTTTTAATCCAGCAGTGTAATTATTTGCTGTGTGGGATGGGGAAGAAGTTTATTCGTTTTAAACATAGACAAAAATGTGAACCTCTTAACCGACACTGGCAAAGTTACTTCAGGGCTCATTACCCCGTGACCCCGAGCGGGGAGCTCCAGCGGGCTGCTGAGTCACGCTAACTAAAAGTAACAGAATCGGGCGAAAAGTGACGCTGTGAAAGAAGAAAATAAAATTCCCCTTTGTGAGGCAAAGCAGCGAATTAAACTGAACGTCACAACAGCAAGTTCAACGTCTATCCACCGTGTAAAAAGTGTCATTAGTTAAAAGACTCACCATGCAGACCATCTTTGCTACAGCTTTTGATTCTGCCAACAAGAATTTCATCCACGAAAGGTCTGAAAACTACGTAACGAAAGTGAACTGAAATATAAAAGTACAATCATAAAATTAGCACTTGTTGGAGTATAAAGAATTTTCTGCATGTTTGTTTCATTCATTCTCTCAATACATTTATTTATACAAATTATAAACTACGGTCAAGCCTACGATGACGGCCACCTGTACAATATGGCCACCTGTACAACCGGCCACTTTCCATTAACCCTCTAGCATTTTTTTCCATATATAATTTAACTGTGTAAAACGGTCACCTGTCCAACGTGGCCGCGGCCACTTTATTTCATCAATCCACTGTCAAATATACCTGCCTAAGACGGCCAGGCGTGGTCACTCATTACCCGACGACGCTTTGTCATAAATTTTGAAGTGGCCCCTCATGCTGTGGATGGGCGCCATAATTCATTCACCTGTAATTATCATTAGTCCCTGAAGTGAATATTTACCCAAGTCGACCAATGGATAGGCCTAACAATACATTTTAAACTGCTGGTGAGGGAAGCATGATCCGTCATAACCTAAAAGCCCCGCCCACAACTCATGCACAAATCATGTGTGAGGTGACTGGAAACTGGTTTTTTTTACCTAATCAGTAACAAAGTAACAACTGGCGTTGACGTGAACTTGCAACAGAAGCGTCGCTCATTCTCCGAGTGGTGGCGACCTGCGTGTTTGTTTTACCATGGCACTCTGTCTTCATCATCTTACTTACATTGTATTTAGTTTATTTTACCCTTGCACAAACTCAACAACAAAAAGAAAGCTTATCAACAAAATAAACCAACAAAACAACACAAAAAACCCTTCTTACACCACACACACCCTTTTTTCAAATGAAAACAAAACCATTTTGAATTAGCCTTACGCAGTCTTAAGAGATCAGCCCCGGTTTGGACCTCAGAAGAGAATGATTTGCTTTCTTCAGTTAGACCAGTACTGCCTAAGATGGCCACAATGGGTGGCCGATTTACATAGGTTTGGGGTTTGGCTACACACAAACACCATATTTCTAGCATCTGCGTTTTTCGGGGCCGCGATTTTTGCATTTTTTAACCAAAAAAACATAACAAAACAAAACACAAAAACAATTTTTTTTTTTACCGCCAGAGAATAAAAAATAGGGGGAAAAAAGGAATAAATTTAATATAAAATTTTTTTAAAAAGAAACCGAACTTCTTTACTTTTACAAAGAAAGTTTATAATTCACTTCAGTTTCACTTCGTCTCTTTCTCACTTGTTGACACCACATGATTTGTTACTTTCATGTGAAGAATATAAGTGCATTAAATACTATTTATATTGCTGTTTCTCTTTTATTATTCCCTCTTTGTTGTGTTAATTTTTTTTCTTGTTACTGTTCAGATGTGTTGCTTTTCTATTTTTTGTGTTTATATAGCGTAATGTCATTTAATTTGATGTTGTTCCAACCTTTTTTTCACACGTAAATGTGTTATTTTAGAGCGTGTCTCCACCAAATCCAAAAACTGATACTGGCAGGCCCCTTGGTGTGATTCCATAATTTACACGTAATATCCTGTACTTTTTTCTTGAATTACGCACATTTTAGGCTTAAAACATCCAATCTTCGGATAGGTGGACATACGCCCTTATTCGTTAAATTTTTGTGGTTGTTTATGTGCTGTTCTAATTTTGATTTCATTCTATTGTGAAACTTTTATTTTTTCACATTTTCACACTGTGTGGCTAAAATGATATTCTGGATGCTTAGAATAAAGCACAAGAAATTCTAGTGCTTTAGACTAAATTACCTCTATCAACATAATTATTGCTATAGATACGTCGTCACAGAGAGTTGAAAGCTTGAAAATTGATGGCAACTTTCATGGCAATTTTTGCTATTTTTTGTGGCAACTTTTGGACAAAAAAACGGCAACAAACGCAGAAGCTAGATATAATATATCATATCATGACCACGCAAACACAAAACCATATTTTTAAAATCCTTTTTAAAATTACCCTGAAAAGTTCAATATTTGCATCAGTTTCAGCTCTACAGGCAGAACCTGCCAAGAAACGCCAACAGTTTAAATCTAATAATAAAAAGGTACTAAATATCAGCAATATTTCAAGATGGTGCAGTGACATAATGTAAAACTGAAATGAAAAAGTGAACTCTATTTAACAATAGACAAAAGGAATATAACTTGGGAGTTAAAAAATAATAAGCAAAGATTCAAAGGACTTGAAAATGAAAAACATGTTACACCATACAGTGGAAACCATATATAACAGGCCCGGTAATAACAGGGATCCGGTAATAACAGGGATTTTTTAAATCCCCGTTTTTTCCTACTCTTTGTCTCTATTAAAAGTTATCGGCAATAACAGGGCCTCATTGGATCCCAACCGGTTATAGCAGGGACCAAGGCTCGTTAACAATATGTAAAAAGTAAGAGAGAGAGAGAGAGAGAGAGAGAGTAACGCAGTGATGGAGCAAGCCAACGCAAGCCATGCCACTGTGAGCACTCGCAGCGTGTGAAGCGAGAGAGGGCTGCGGTGTGCTGCAGACCTCGATCTAGCAAGCTCCACTGGCAGAGATTTGTCGTCAGTTTGACATTCCACAAGGGTCGATTCCCTCCATTATCAAGGATAGAAAGAAGATAGTGGCAGCATACTCCAATGGAAAGTTTGCTCTGGATCGAAAGAACATGAGACTGCCCGATGCAGATGCTGTGGACCAAGCTCGTCTGATGTGGTTTAAGGAGGCAAGGAGAAAGTTGGTGCCAAAACCCTTGTTCGTGGGTATTTGGGGCAAGGGAAACTACCCATGAAAAAGTACAGCTGGATTAGTCCACAAATGCTTACTTTCCTTGCATTTCTGATTTAACAGGGATCGGATATAACAGGACATTTTCTCTACTCCCACCATCCCTGTTATATCAGGTTTCTACTGTATTTTCCTGACAGGGCAATAAGAAGAGCACTTCAGTGTAGAAACATAAAACTAACAATGACATTATTCATAGAACTTTAAAATTCATTTATTCAGAAAAAAATTCAAGTACATGATAACATAAATATTTAGCTCACAACAAAACTGCTGAGTTCATTGAGATTCAAAGAACATCAGTATCAATAGTAACCCTTTTCTTACCATTGGTATGAGTAGCTCCATCACCGGGAAAGATATAGCTGTCTTCAACTTTTTCAATATCCCACAATGCAATGCAAAGGCCCACATTGTACACAACCTATAAGAGGAAAGAAAGATGTTGCTTTGAACTATGCATCAGAATTCCAGAAACACCAGATACTTAACTGAACTAGTTGACTCTAAGACTCATAAAACGGTGTTGAACAAAAACATAAGCAAAATAACTACTGTAGCAGTACACATCTTCTCCGACAATATTCTTGTACTTGCTGGGCTTAGGATTCGGAGGATACCAAGATGGCATGAGGAAAATAAAAAGTATTTTGTAACCCTTTAATGTCTTCCATCAAGGTTTTTCTGAAAATGTACAACAATGCACAGTCATTGCATAATTGGAGTCAAAGAAAGGTATTAATATTCAAATTTGCCCTTTTGAAATACAATAAGTCTTGAATCTGCCATGACCACTTAGCATCTAGTCTTTACGATAATGCAGAGTACAGCTGTAAAGGTAAAATACTGAACAGACAAAAAACCTGTTAGTGTAGCATCGTGGCGCTTATCAAAAAAATGCCAATGAGCAATTTTGTTCTAATTTTTTTTTTTTTTTTTTTAGAAGGGGGGGGCTCAACACCTTTAATGTCCATTTAAAAACGTATTTTTGGGTGAATTTTGTGGAAAAACATTGATTAAATGCACAAAAAAGTTGTAAAATTTCAGTTTCCAAGGCAAGGGCTCTCATGCTATAGAAGTTACCACATTTTGGCAGCCATTTTCTCACTAATTTTACTTCTGAGACCAGGCGACCCTGACCTCCTTCAATCGCAAATACTTTCGACTTCTATTCTACATGATTGATATTTTTTTCACTACAAGGAGGGCAAATGAACAGGCTTTAAGATGATACTAATAACCCCATGCCCAAAAACTGATGAGCGCCTGATTCCACCATGTCGTGACACATATTTTTGGTTTTATTTTTCTCCTTCTAGGAAATGGATGTTACAGTGAAATATATTATACCGTCGAACCTGCCATAATGGAAACCTATCTAAGACAGGGCAGGGAGACCTGTTATGACGGAACCCCCCCCCCCCCCTCCACCTTCCCACAAATTCTTCTACATCTTTCTTAAAGACGGAAACCTTTACAACCTGTGGAGGGAATTATGACCTGTCAAAACGGAAAATGCATTGTCCTCTCAACCATGATTTGAAACAAAACTCCAAAGTTTGGTTCTACCAGCTCTAACCTTTAAGCCACACCACCTGGTGAGGAAAGGAGGTGGGAGGTTTGGGGGGTAGCTATTACCTCACCGATGTGAGCTCTGAGCAACGTAGATAGTCATGATAGTGTGGGTGTAAAATTTCTCTGATGCTTATCTTCAAAGTGCTTGAGAGACACATCTGTACAGAAACTGGGTAATCAGAGGTGTGAAATTAGACCACTGTCTGTCATCCTGGTCATACAGACAGTCGAGGAAAAAGTTCCCCCAATCATTGTTACATACAGGGAAGGGGTGGCATTGGTTTATTGTACGCGGTCTGTCTCAGAATAACGTTTCCCTCATCCATAAAATCAAAAGTACAAAACCAACAGCCACTAAATTTTGTGACATCATGACATCGTGTCTAAGAAATCTCAACGCCAAACTGCAAGTGCATTGGTGAACGGGTCATAGAGCGGTGAAATGTCAAGTGGGGTGTTCTAAAGCACTTTGTCCAAGGCAAATTCGAGGAAAATGGCTGAGCAATACATTGGTGCAACCTTCTCATGCTACGATGTCCAAGTTGTGATCAAGTTTTCAACTCTTTTCGGCAAGTCTGCAGCTGAAACCCATGGTGATCTATACAAAGTAGTAGGGAATAATGCCCCATCAATTCAAACAGTAAGGAAATGGATCAGGAAGGTCGGACAAGAAAGATGAAGCACACACAGAAAACACAGGGAGAGAAAGGTGATGCACATTGTTTTTTTCGACATGAGTTGCATCATACTGAGCTGGCTAGTCACACCTGGCTTAACTGTCAATGGTGACTATTATAGGTTCGTTTTCAAAGACAAGCTGAGACCTGCAATCCGGAAAAAAGACTCGCTTTGCTTGATGAAGAAGGCATCATCTTGCATCCTGACAACGCACCTGTTCACAAGTCCAGAGTTGTGAACGAGCTTCTGGAGGGCTACTCGTTGGAATTATAGGAACATCCGCCCTATTCGCCTGATCTCGCTCTGGTCCATGCAACTTCCACCTCTCCCCCAAGGTAAAAGAAATGCTGCGAGGTTGGCGAATTCAGGACGAGTATCCGATTCAAGAGGCTATGAGAAAAGCACTCGGGACCTTAGACAAACGATCACCGACCAATATCTTTGACCGTAGGGTACATCGAAGGAGGGATGCCTTGAACTTGATGGTTCCTATGCTGAATAGGTATTTGAATTTAAACTTTCTGTTGATATCAAATACAAGGTGATTTATAATTATATGTGAGGACAGCATGACAAGGAAACTTTATTCTGAGACAGACCTCGTACTTTACATTAAAGGGTGGAGCTAGGTGAGAAAAAAAAGGATACATTCATTCGTTTCTGTTAAGGTAAATTTTTGCTTTCACTCCCGCACACAGATGCACTGCTTTGGGGGTCAAACTCCAGTATTTTTCACTGCAGATCACACATCTAAAACTGGAGCAAATCAATTATTTTTAAGAAAATTTCAAACGAACTGCAAAAATCGAATCAAAACTCGACACCTTCCAAGGGTATAAGAGAATGTGATAATGGCATGCGTCAGTCTTACTAAATCCATTGGCATGACCAGCACTTGCATCTCAATTAAGACGGCTGTCTGACCAATTAAAAATAGGTATTCTTTTACTTTCCCTCCCATATTGTGACTAGCAGCTAGACGTTCAATGTCTACTACATATTGATGTGCTGAACACGAATATATATATCGACTGACTAGGTTTGAAATTTTCTTCAAAATATTGATTTGCAACAGTTTTAGATGTCATGTGTGTGATCTGGAGCAAAAAACACATGAAGCTACAGCGAGCACCTAGCACACCTCTGTGATTGGCCCAAATGTAGATGACGTATTCCGTCATCTATTTTTGTCGTCTTCCAGGGTTTCCCCCAAGACTCTTGGATTTCCCTCACCAGTAACTGTTGACTAGATCTCGCTGTGTTTGTTTTTTATCTCTATTAATTTACACTTGTTATCTTTTATAAACAATTTCAGCTATTCTCGTTCCATAAATTTACCTTCCCCTCAAATTTGTACACACCCCCCCCAACACACACACACACCCACAAGCGTGTGCACACACATACACACAAGCGCAGGAACACACATAAACACACACACACACCCCAAGCAGTCAGCGATGAAACCTAGAGATCTCATGTCATAGCTGTAGCCCACGGAGAGATCTAGTTAACTGGCGAGGGAAGCCCTGGACGATGACAGATATAGCTTTTGCGGAAATATGTCACAATTGGGCCAATCACAGAGATAAGTGTGCTTGGTGTTCGCTGCAGCTTCATGTAAACTAAACACTACTTCATATCTCTAGGCTAAACACTAGATTAGATTATCTAGGCTACACTACACTAATAATAATATATAACATTTATACAGCGCATTTCCTAAAAAGTAGCTCAATGCGCTTTACATTGGAATACCCATTTTTCAAAAACCTTTCTTACAACTTCCTTTTTTCTCATGCAATATACATTAATGCACACACACACACACACACACAGAGACTATTTTCATCCAGACATAGGAACAGAACAAATATAATGAAAGATAACGTTAAAAGTTTATGAAGGATAGGCCTGTAGGAACAGAAAATGTTTTTAAAAAACCCAGCAAACACAAAGAAAAGAAAAACAGTAAATTCTTAGATCTAGACTAGAGCTACTTTCACTCTTGGGTATGCCCCCCTGTAACCCACTCAGATTTTCTTTTACCCCAGGGGGCCTCCCCCCCTGGAACCCCCTATTGGTCCAAAGCATGTCTATCTCGATTAAAAGAACAATCAAATAATGAACTATCGAAGTGACTATTCAGACTCGAGTCCGAATATGAAAAAATGTTATTCGGACTCTCATTCTTGTCCAGCATGACATCACTTCCGACTTCCTGTGACTCGTGACTCCGGCTTCCTGTCCTGCCTCACTCGTGACTCGCCTCAGGCTGGGTAGAGACCGGGACCACTTCAGGCAAAATGGCGTTTTGTGCAGGAGCCGAGTTTTTATCTTCTGATGAATTTGAGGCCGGCCTGAAAAGTTATAGCGCTTCTAATAAATGTTTATTTGTCAAGATGTCATCAGAAGCAATTAAAGATGGCTCGTTAACGTGCGTCGGGGTCGGATGGGCGGCCTGCACATGTGTGGCTGTGTGCATGTCAGGGAGGGGGTCACTATCGGTCCGGGCGTTGAACGTCGCATACGCGTCAGTCTTTTTCCCCCCGGCAACTGATCATTATTACAATAATAAGCTAGTCTTGACGTAGATCTACATAATGAATTGTGCGCTGGTCTATGGAATCAAAAGTTGCTGTGTATGCTCAGCTCAACACAGCAACACAACTTTTTCTTGGTAAACAATTGAGATGACACAGGCTTGAGTATTTGAACAAATCGGACTTTTTTTTTTACACAGCTCATAATATGCAGGTGCCAGGTGGTCTGCTAATCTTCAATTTTACCTTTTTCTACAACAAAGAAAGTAAGAAACATGGGGGGTGGGGCGTATCAATGAGGCGGCGGGCATCGGATCGGCAGAAAAGGTGTGGGGGAAACTAAAAAATGGCGGAAAATTGGAAGCACTAAACGTTAGATCTATAGACACTTCCTTTTTTCCGGACCTAAGTCCGAATAACATTTTTTCATATTCGGACTCGATCGAATATGAAATTTTTTTATTCGGACTCAGTCCGAATAAAGACGGCCATCAAATATTTCAAAAACAATTAATTTGCTACGGAAATGAAGTTGATATTCGTATTCAGAGCATCAATATTTTGTAGAATATGGACAAAGAAGTGCATCAATATTTTGTAGAATATGGACAAAGAAGTGTGAGACGGGAGGAATTTAAAAAGTAAAAAAATACATGGTAGATAAGAAGGCTATTTTTTAAAATCATGAACACGTTCAATACTTATGTATAAATATATTTTCTAGAAGATTTTGCATGCTGAACACAAATATGGCATTCATTTTTGCCGCAAATCAATAGATCTAGTTATTGAGTTATTGACGATTGAAAATAGTAATATTTCACATGATTTTAACAACATGGGGGGTTTCAGCCCCCCTGACCTAAAAAGAAGGGATCGTAAAAAGAATCTAGGGGGTTTCAGGGGGGCATGCCCCCTGCATTTCACAATAATTTGATGTTTTG